GATTTAATTGATCAAAAATGCAGACCAGGCCTGGGATATTTTTGTTCCAAAAAGTTTTTATTCATTCATTCAATTTATTCAATAAACATTTAATGTCATTTGTGTGTCAAACACTTTCTAGGCATTTACTTCCTAGCAAGATCAGTCAGTTAGCTGTCACCACAGTGATGCATAATGATGACTATAAAATCTTAGTGGCATGAAAAACTAAGAACTTACTAAGCGCTTATTCTCAAATTTCTGGAGGCCAGCTGGGATTCAGCTGATTAGGCAGGACTTTGTCAGACAACTCTGATTAGGTTAGAGTGACTACTTTCCCTGCTTCAGGACTGTGAGTAAACTCATGTGGCTCTGCTTCATGCATTCCTCCCTAGACCATTGGACTAGCTGGCACTTGTATCTCTCATGGCTCATCTCATGCCAGTAGTAGAATCACAAGAGGGGACATGTCCAACTGTGCAAGTATATTTCAAGCCCCTGCTTGAGTAACATCTGTGTACACTTTATTAACCAAAGCAAGTCTCAAGGCTGAGCTCAAAGACAAGAGGTGGGAAAATAAGCTCCACATCCGTTGTGTGGACTTGGAAAGTTCATGGCATAGGCTGAGAATTGGAGCCAGTAATTCAATTTAGGTGGGAAAGAATGAAAAAAAAAACCACTGAGCATTATACATAAGAAAACTTTCAAATGTATTAGAAAGTGGTAAGTAATACTGGAAAAAAATTCTGAAAGGTGGCATGAAGGTGATTGTAATGTGCACCTAGGGCTGAGAGCCACTGATCTTACGGTGTCCCTTAGCCAATTTGAAAATAATAAAACATACCCAGAAAATAGAAGAATCTTACTCAAGGTCCATAGGCCGATAATTATAGAAAGGAACTAGGGCCTCTAATGTCTCCTTGTACTGTAGACTGTTTCTCTTGTACCACACTATTGTGATCTATGGTCTTAGAATTCTTCCTTTATTAATGGCACCAAAAATATGTTGTGGAAAGACACATTCTTTTTTTAACTTGACCCTAGACATTAGAGGTTGTACTCTCTAAATCCTGTGCTCCCTTAGTAATCCAATTCAGGGCCCAAATTCTTACATGTGTATTATCCAAAAGTTTACAGACATTCTATCTTCTTTTAGTTTTTTGCCTCTTCAAGTTGAAGACTGTTGGCTTTGATCTATCTTCATGTGATCCCATAGTCCCTTCTTAACAATCTACTTGATTTATTGGGCCTTCTCTCTTCCTCAACTCTGTAATGCCTTGAGTAATGTTTCTTAGGTTTCTGTTTACTCTGGACTTCCACTAGGCCTTTCAGTCATCATTTCTGTTTTGGATTACAGTCTTCTTGGTTTGCCAGGATGAACAGTCAAAAGAAAAGAAGAGGTATGGAGCCTGCTTGTACTTGGAGTTTATTGTCTGAACAGAAAGGTAAGTAACTGAATGAGGTAAGCAGAGGGTACAGTCTAGGTAATCCTGTTCATTCCCTTTCTCCTATTTCTCCTCATGGACTTTGGGATTTTGTTTTTTAATCTTTAACATTGTGTTGCCCGTGTATAGGTGTGTGTATATTGAGATATTACATGGACACAGTATTTGCCCATTGATAATCTCTTTAAAATGTCTCCATAATTTTTATGTTTTCCAAAATGAGGAAAAAGAAAGAGAAGAGAAGAGGCAACTATGGTTTCGACTGTTTTCCATGATTCCAAAAGCATTTATAATCCTAAAAGACTCTTAAGTCTCTCCCTTTACTGTAACCGCAGATTTTCACAGGAGACAGCACAAAAGAGCAAAGAGTGAAGATTGTTGGAGTCCTTCCCCTTGTGGCTGATTCCTGAGCTCCAAGGAATATTTACTTATGGGGAATAGAAACTCGTTATCTTCAACAGACTACTCACTTGCCTGCCCATTTTTGTGACATTCTAATATCTGCCTCTCCAGACTCTGCTTCCTCCCATCCATCTAGTCATACCTTCTCCCAAGTATAAGTCTCACTCTTGCTTTTAAAGGTGTGCAAGTACTAAAAACCTATAGGAATGTGGAGGCTGTGTGTATGTGTGTGTGTGTGTGTGTGTGTGTGTGCGCGCCTGCATTTGTGTATTTCTATCTGGAAACCTATATATGTAAGAGTTTGGATTGAATGTATGTGTATATGTGTTCAAATTTTAGGTCATTGTATGTATCTGTCACACTAACGTCAGCAATGCCTTATTCATTCTAATTAACAAGTTAAGTTCAACAGAAGCTCCAACAGGAGCAATAGGTTAATGTTCAGTGGAAAGCAAAATATCTAAAACAGTGACTTAAATAATGTATGAGCCTTTAAGTTAATGCCTAAATTTTCCTTACAGAGCTTATAAATGTAAATGTTTATACCCTCAATATATATATGGGAAGGTCTCACATTTTACTTTACATTGGACATTAGTTACAACTTTGTGGGTGAGTTAGAATAGATGTGAGATGACTTTCTTCCTTGTATTTCTGTCTGGGGAACAGCATGAATGGCTGTAGCAGTGTGGGTAAATTTTCTGTATATTTCGTCTTTTGATGTGAAGGTGTATTTGTGCTTCTCTTAATCCCAACTCTTTCCTCCCACAGATGCTTCAAATTCTCAGGCTTCATTGTCATGGAAGGAGCTCACAGGTAGATGTCTTCTCTCTTTTACTCTTTTTCTTTTGTGAAAAGGGCCTCCAATGAACCTGGCTTCTCATCCCTTCTCCACTCACATTTTTTACCCTGTATTCATTGAGAAGCAACCATTTTTTTTTAGTAGTATCTGTGAAGCTTCAAACTGTTATAACAGATAGGAATTTTATATCAGATAGAATAGATATTCGAATACCACTGATGGTGGTCAGGAACCAGATGTACAAAACTTTATGGCTAGAATAGACCTCCAATTCTGGAGTGATCTAAATTGAGGCCATTACAGCTAGTGGGCCAAATCAAGCCAGGGACTTGATTTTATAAATAGTTTTACTAGAACCAGCCATGCCCATTCATTTACATATTGTCTACAGCTACCTTCAAGCTAAGGTGGCAGAACTGAGTAACTGAAACAGAGACCCAAAAGCCTAAACTATTTACGGAATTTTACAGAAGAAATTTGCCAACAGTTATCTAGACCAGCATTCCCTAAGCAGTTCTACAGAGCACTGTTGTCCAGGAGATAATAACTTTGATTTGGGAAAGGGTTATATAGTTATTTGAGACCAGAAAATGCTGAATTAAACCAAGTTAAACAACCTTTCTTTTCTTTAACTATAGGTTATTTCAGATCCTTTCACATGTTACATCCATTGAGAAACTCTAAAAGGAGATAGAGGGTGCATTCCCTTTAATTTATTTGACCACTGCACTTCTTTTCCACAGCTCTCTTACTAATACCTTGCAAAATTGTGTTCAAAGGAACACTTATTTGAGAAATGCTAACTTAGACATTCACTTGACAGAAGTTTGAACTTGATAACTGACTCCTTGGATTATTTTTTTCTAGTTGCAGAAAGTGAAAAGCTATGTAGTATAGTATTTAAGCACATGGACTATGGCTTTAGACAAACCTTAATCTTAATTAAGTCTCTGTCACTTAATAGCTGTTGAACTTTGGACAAATAATCTAATGTGATAAGCAGGACTGGCTACATAATTGATGGGCTATGGTACAAAATGAAAACGCAGTACCCCTTGATCAAAAAATATTAAGAATTTCAAGATAGCAACAGCAGAGCATTATCCCAATGGGTTCTTCCGAGCACAAGACCTGTGCACAGATTGTATACCCATGAAACTTATCACCCTGGTAACAAATTTCAGTTTCCTCAACTTTATAAAATGTAGATGATACCTACTTAATGGGATTATTACAAGAATTCAGTCAGAAATGTATATAAAGAGCCTTGTAGAGTATCTGGCAGAATAGACAGTAATAAATGACTTGTTTTTAATTCAAAAGCATTTATAGCCATATTCAATAATCTATTTATTGAGTGTCTACAATGTGCCAGGCATCACGCAGGTACTTAGGATATTATGGTGAAGAATACAAATCAGGTCCCTGTCTTCATGTAGATTATTGTTTAGCGGGAAAGACAAATAATGAAAAAATAAACAACTATTAATTATGATAACAGCTATAAAGATAAAACAAGGTGCTGGGAAAGGAAATAATAGAGAAGATATGCTTTAAATTGGGTGGTCAGGCAAGTTCTCTTCTAGGAAGTAATGTTTAAGTTGAGATCTGAAGGATAAAAAAAAAAGCTCTCCATGGAAAGAGCAGAAAGAGTGTTCCAGGCAGAGAGAATAGCTGCTGGAAAGGCCCTGAAGTGGGAAAGAACTTGGCATTTTGAAAAATTAGAAGTAGTCTAGAGTGGCTTTAGGGACCGAGAAGGAGATTGATTTGTGGCACACCTTGTAGGATAAGGTTTTGGATTTTATACGAAGTGCAATGAAAAGCTTTTGAAACGTTTTGGATATGGTAGTCACATGATGTAATTGATATTTTTAGAAGATCATGTTGGCTGCTGTGTGGAGAGGAGCCATAGATAACCTAGAGTAGATGAATAGTAGGAGGATACTTCAGTAGTCCAGGAAAGATTTAGTAGTGCCTTGTACTTGGTTGAGAATTTGAGAATGTAGTGATAAATAAATGGATTGGAGGCTTATGATAGGCCTTGTTAATTGATTGGATGTGGAGGATTCAAGTGGAAGAAAGGAATAAAGAATGACTCTTAATGTTTTTCTGGGCAACTGGGTGCCATCATTTAACTGGGATGACGTGCCTATGGGTTTTTTTGGGCGGGGGCAGCCACACAGAATTCCAGAGCTCAGGTTTAGACATGTAAAATTGGAGGGCCCTCTAAGACATCCAAGTGGAGATGGTAGTATTAGTTATAGCTGTTGTTTGTATTGCTGTCTAGGATTCTGTGGTTACTAACTCTTGGTGTCACCTCATTAGACTACCGGCAAATATTTAGAACACATCTGAAGGAAAAATACCTAAACATGGGAGTCCATAAATGTTATCACCATGGCAAACATATAGAGTCACGGCTGCTTCTTGTAAAAGAACATGGTATATCAGAAAAGACACCGTGTGGGATTCCTCAACAAGATAATTTTATTGATATGGGACATGTATTTGATCCTGACGAAGAGGGCTGCAGCTCATCCCAAACTGTGGTACTTCAGGGATGTGCTGGGATTGGGAAAACAGCTGTGGTGCACAAGTTCATGTTTGACTGGGCAGCAGGAATGGTTGCTCCAGGAAGGTTTGACTATCTCATCTATGTGAACTGCAGAGAAATAAGCCATATTGCTAACCTTAGTGCTGCTGATCTGATCACTAGCACTTTTCAGGATATATACGGACCAATCCTGGACGTTATTCTTGTGTATCCAGAGAAGCTTCTTTTCATTCTTGATGGATTTCCTGAACTTCAGCACCTTGTAGGTAACCTGGAAGAAGATTTTAGTGCTAACCCCCAGGAGCAGAAGCCAGTAGAGACCCTCTTATGTAGTTTTGTGAGGAAAAAACTGTTCCCTGAATCCTCCCTGCTGATAACTGCCCGGCCTGCAACCATGAAGAAGCTCCACTCTCTGTTAAAACAACCTATCCAGGCAGAGATCATTTGGTTTACAGATGCTGAAAAGAGAGCATATTTCTTGAGTCAGTTTTCAGGTGCTGATGCAGCAATGGACGTCTTTTGTGAGTTGCAACAAAATGAAACCCTTGACATTATGTCCTCTCTTCCCATCATCTCCTGGATTATCTGCAGTGTCCTGCAGTCACAGGAAGATGGTGACAGGAGTCTTATGGGATCACTTCAGACCATGACTGATGTGTATCTGTTCTACTTTTCCAAGTGCCTCAAAACCCTTACAGGCACCTCAGTGTGGAAGGGAAAAAGTTGCCTGTGGGGCCTTTGCTCTTTGGCTGCAGAGGGACTGCAGAACCAGCAGGTCCTATTTGAAGTCTGTGACCTCAGGAGACACGGGATAGGGGTATATGATATCAATTGTGCTTTTCTAAATCACTTTTTGAAAAAAGTTGAAGGAAGTGTCAATGTCTACACTTTCCTTCATTTCAGTTTCCAAGAGTTCTTGACTGCTGTGTTCTATGCCCTAAAGAATGACAGCAGCTGGATGTTTTTTGATCAAGTGGAGAAAACATGGCAAGAAATATTCCAACAATATGGAAAAGGGTTTTCATCATTAACGATACAGTTCTTGTTTGGCCTCTTACATAAAGGAAAGAGAAAGGCTGTGGAAACTACTTTTGGAAGAAAAGTCTCCCCAGGACTTCGAGAGGAATTATTGAAATGGACTGAGAAAGAAATAAAGGATAAATATTCTAGGTTACAGATTGAACCAATGGACTTGTTTCATTGTTTGTATGAGATTCAGGAAGAAGAATATGCAGAAAAGATAATTGGTGATTTACAATCAATTATATTGCTTCAACCTACCTACACAAAAATGGACATTCTGGCTATGTCATTCTGTTTAAAAAGCAGTCACAGTCACCTGTCAATGTCTCTGAAGTGTCAGCACCTAATTGGATTTGAGGAAGAAGAGCAAGCCTCTGCATTCATGACACCAGTCTTTACACTTAATCAGTGAGTATATTAATGTCTTTTCTCCAGTGTTTTGGCCTTGAGAAATAATGGGCATTCTTGTTTATTTCAAGTATTAAAGCACATGATCATTTCTGGTATTGTCAATAAATAAAATGAGTCATCTCCACTTTCCATATTTATGTCAATCAACCCAGTGAAGATTTATTCAATATCTGTCACATATTGAACACTAGCCTAGGTAGACAGTGAGGGAAAGTTAACATTTCTGAGCATTTATTATGTATTAGGTACTGTGTTAGCCACTGTAAGTGTGTGTATATTTGTGTGTATATATATTAGTCTTCACTGTTACCTTGTGAATGTGCTTTACAATTATAAAGTGTTATGAGCATGTAAGGCATCAAGATTATCATTGAGGGCTGTACTATTTTGGTGTTAATGATTACTATTCTAGAAAAGGTGGTAAACTTAATTGAAATGGTCATCACTCTCCTCTGCATATACTTCATCATTGAGGCCTCAGAGAGCCCCAGGTCAGTAAGGGGCAGAATTGTACTCCTGCATATATTGCTGGAAAGCCTGGGCTTTTTCCACCAGGCTTCCACCTTCACAAAGGGTTCAAGGGGCTTAGGTAAATCACTTATTTCATACAGATTCTATATACTGCAAAATACAGTTCTATTGACTTAACTGACCTGTGTTATCTAGAAAATGCTACTGGTCGTAAGTCCATTCTCAATACTTGGGTTAAGATGGACATTGGCGCTCCTTTTTAAAAAATTTTTTAATGTTTATTTTTGAAATGGGGGGGCGTGTGCAGAGAGAGAGACATAGAATCTGAAGCAGGCTCCAGGCTCTGAGCTGTCAGCACAGAGGCTCAAACTCATGAACTGTGAGATCATGACCTGAGCCAAACTCGGATGCTCAACCAACTGAGCCACCCAGACGCCCCGGCTCTCCTTTAGTTGTATGACCATCTGAGGGGTAGAGGACCTTGAGAATAAGAGAGTGGGCAGAAGGCTCTACTTAGGGAGTGTGTTAACCTGAGTCTTTTCTCTGATAGTTATATTTCCTCAGTGGGGAGTAGTAACATAGAGGTGGAAATGAGTGCAGGGTAGGTGTGTTTGAGGGAGGTTGGGGAGGGGAAGGGAAGTGCAGCAAGAGTGTTTGGGACTAGAATGGAAGGGATAGGAGAGGTTACATGGACTGGGAATTACCAAGGACCTTGGCTACAATGTCTTGATAAATTATTAACCGCTTCAATCCAACTGTATATTATAAGGTAAAATAATGGACAAATACATTGAGAACTTTTAAACACTGATGGAAACAAAAGGGTTTCTGGTTCATTCTAGATTTCCAGAAAATCAGCCTTAAATGGAGTCCCTACCCCAGCTGTATTGCCTTTATCAGAGGGCTTAAACTTTCTTCAAAATTTACCCCAAAATATTCCTTTCACAAGCATGTTGACTGAGAGTTTACTATTGAACTTTTCTAGGTTTATTTTGTTGTTCAAGTATAATTGACATACAGTGTTCTATCAGTTTCAGATGTACTGTATAGTAATTCAGTGATTCTATACATTTCTCAGTGCTTGTCAAGATAAGCGTACTCTTAATCCCCTTTATTTATTTCACCCGTTCTCCACCCACCTCCCCTCTGGCAACGACCAACTTGTTCTCTGTATTTAAGAGTCTGTTTATTTTTTGGTCTCCTTATTTCTTTATTTGTTCATTTGTTTTGTTTCTTAAATTCCACATATGAGTGAATTCATGTGGTATTTGTCTTTCTTGGACTAATTTCTCTCATTTAGAATTATACTTCAGGGGCACCTGGGTGGCTTAGTCGGTTAAGCGTCCGACTTTTGCTTAGGTCATGATCTCACGGTTTGCGGGTTCGAGCCCCGCGTCGGGCTCTGTGCTGACTGCCAGCTCAGAGCCTGGAGCCTGTTTCAGTCTGTGACTCCCTCTCTCTCTGACCCTCCCCTGCTCACTCTCTCTCTCTCTCTCTCCTAGAAATAAATAAAAAAATATTTTAAAAAAATAGAATTATACTTATTAGGTCCATCTATGTTGTTGCAAAAGACAAGATTTTATTCTTTTTTATGGCTGAGTAATATTCCAGTGTGTGTGTGTGTGCGCACACATACCCATACACATACACGCACACACACCACATCTTCATCCAACCATCTATTGATGGACACTTGGGTTGCTTCCATAATATGGCCATTGTAAATAATGCTGCAATAACCATAGGGGTGCATATATATTATCAAATTAGTGTTTTTGTTTTCCTTGAGTATTCCTCAAAAAATTAAACATAGAATTACCATATGAATTTTTCTAGTTTTCAATCATTAATTCTTCTATTAGTACTGACAACCAAAAGATAGTTATATAGTAGATAGCTTGTGCAACTCACTTGACTTCTCTGAGCCTAGTGCAAAATGGTGATTATAATATCCATCATTGGGTTAAGGACCAGATAAGATGATTTGTATATGTAAAGTGCTTACCTTGGTACCTGGCACATAGTAACACAGCTTGGGCTTTAAAGTCAGACAGAACTGAGTGCTGAACTCCATTCTGTTCCTACCTATGTGACCTTAGGCAAATATCTTAACATTTTTGTGACTTAATTTCCTTATCTGCAAAATGGGGTAGTACCTCCTAAGGATTTTGGAAGAGGTAAATGAATACTAGTGCAGTAACAGAAGCCACAATAAGCCTTTTACTTAAAATTTCGTTTTTAACTATTTTGTTTCAAATTATTTCTATTTTCTCGTCTCTTTTAGGTCCGTTGAGCTGCACAATTTGCCAGTGTCTCGGCTACACTTGCTCTGCCAAGCACTACGTAATCCATACTGTAAAATTAAAGACCTGAAGTAAGTTGAACTTTGCTTTAAACACTTAGGTATTTGAAAGGTAGAGACTGGGTTGCGGGAAATTGTACTCCCAGCTGATGGGAACTGTAAACAAAATACAACTAGTTCTTAGCTTCTCCATAGTGGAATAGCAAATGATAAGATATGCTGCAAACCTAGAAGGGGTAGAGAGTCAGGCACAGATCCCTGCCAGCCACCCTCCAGCCTCTGCCCCTTTTGTAATGCTATTTTTGCTGTAGCAAGTGGATGTCAGGTCTTATATCTGAGAGATCTGTGGCTGTGCCCTTCCTGGACCTACCCTCTTCTCCTTCCAGATTCCAGCTGTCCTCTTCCTTGGTTTTCTTTCATTTGGGTCCTATCCCACTCCATGTAGCTCAGTGATCTTTTTCTGTCCCTTCATGCCTCACCTCCATTCCCTGCTGTTACTCCCTAAAGCGTCATTGCTCAGAAACTCCCCACCCCCACCCCTGCCCTGACTTTCATTCCATGCTCACTCTCAGGTATCTTGTCTGCTTGTCAGTCCACATCTCAAGCACATAGGCATGAGCCCTCTTGTGTTTCAAAACCCCTCACCACACAGATCAGTGTATGTTCTGCTTCCTTCCTCTGTGCAAGAGGAAGAGGTGGCCTTTCTAAACCTCCCCAAGCAAGTAAATTCACTTCTTTTTATTTTCTGTATTTTTCTAAGCATTTACTAATTTCACCTTACACAACACAGAAGTATATAAAGATATAAAAGCCCTCCACCCTACTGTCCCATACCCCACCCCACCTTATACCCCAACATCCCCACTCCTGCTTACCATGCCCTAACCCTGATCTTACCCTCCCTAGGTAACACCTTGTTTGATAAATATCTTTCCAGACCTTTTTGTCTATGCCTTTTCAAACATCAATGTATAACATAAGGCACACAAAAACATATATATGTATGTGTTGAGTATGTATATACACATACATGCATACATACATACATATGCAGTTACAGAACTTTTTGCTTTAAGTTTTAAAAATTTATTTCTGAGAGAGAGGAGGGTGCAGCATGAGCAGGGGAGGGTCAGAGAGAGAGGAGACACAGAATCGGAAACAGGCTCCAGGCTCTGAGCAGGCTGGCAGCATAGAGCCCAATGTGGGGCTCGAACCCACAAACAGTGAGATCATGACCTGAGCCAAAGGTGGATGCTTAACCAACTGAGCCACCCAGGCGCCCCTGCAGTTACAGAACTTTGAGGGGTTTTGTTTCACACACACACACACACACAAAATCTGGCCATCTTATTTTACTTTTTATTGAATTGTACAATGGACATGCCTCCCAATATACTTGGGAGTGTCTCTCTCTCCATGTTGTGTGTTCTCAAGCTTTCTTCAGTTGTCTTCTTCCTCATGGTTCAAGTTTCTTCCGCATTCAAAGGGACTCTCTCTCTGCTGTGTACCCCACCCCTTCCCTTCACTGCCAGGAGTTCTTGAGGAGCCCCCCTGCCTGCACTTCCTCGATTAACGTTTACTCCTCAGTCTTTATAGTTTGGGTTCTACCCCTCTCCAGCCCAGATCTGTTCAAAGATCGAAATCAGACCAGATCTGATGAACACTTTCCAGCTCCTACTTGAGGGCCTCCCCTGCAACCCTGAGCACTGCTGAGAATGCTTTCCTTGCAACTCTCTTCCTGCTTTTATGACTACTCCTAAGGACCTCTTTACCTCTATGGTTTCCAACCAGTAGCAGTGGACGTGTGGCAGTATCTGGAGACAATTTTGCTCGTCACAACCTGGGGCATGGGTGCTATTGACCTCTAATAGGTAGAGGCCAGGGATTCTACCAAACATCCTGTGGTGTATTAGCCCCCTGCAACAAAGAATTATTCAACCTCAAGTGTTAGGAGTGCTGAGGCTTGGAAGCCTTGCCCTAGAAGGATATAAACAAGCCCCAAGATATTTCTGAAAATGCAGGTTAGGGATCTTGCCCCCGATCCTGATGGTTGTCCACACCTGCCCCAATAGGAGACAACCCAGAGTCCTATCCAGCGGCTACAGGGATGAACCAGGGCCATTATAGCTTTAGGCTTTAGGTCTATAGTCCCTGGGTGATACCCAGGGCTCTTCTAGTTTTCTTACTCTGGTCCAGGTGTGACACCTCACCATCCTTCTACTTGTGGGCTAAACCATACATTTAGTCTCCCTCAACACCACTTAAGAGTCATGAGAAAGAAAACACGAACCATCCTCTCCCCGCCTCTTTTCCCAGTTTACCTCCTTCCTCTTCTTATTGGGATATGTTTTATTTCATTTATGAAGTCACTGAGGCCTTTGTAACAAGATCCCCCCTCCCACTATTATTCTGCTGGTGTGTTTGGGGAGAGAATCCCTCAGGATGGCATCACACTTTGGTCCATAGCCTAGACCAGCAAACCCTCTGGGCACTATCATTTGCTGACTCACCTTGGAAGTGGTAGGGGTTCCCTGTTTAGATCTGTCTCTCCCCAGTGCTGCCACTGGGGATTGGGGAGGATTCTCATGTTTTGGGGCTATCCAACCATAGCAGTCCTTGTCTGCATCTGGTGCTGGTGTCCTCTGGATGCAGTCCTGAGGAATTTCCTTAGGGGTGGCACATCTCTGCTGTGTTGTCAACCCAGGGTTAACCTCGGGCCTGTTTTGATGGTTTCTCATGATAGAACTTGATCAGAACACAAACAAGCTTCCTGTCTAATTCATTCCTGGAGACTCTTGGGATACAGCAATCCTCACTACCTGTAACTCTCTGATACTCTTCCCCAGCCAGTGTCGACATTTTTCCTGAATGATCAGTGGTTTGTGACTGCTCTTCTGGTGCTAATTTCTGAACTGGAAGTAATCTGGTTGCCCAGAGCAGGAACCCACTCAACTTAACTTAAAGAAAAGGGGATCTGTATAGATTGGATTTTAACCAGCACAACTGCGTAAAGTGGAAAGATGGTCAGGCCACCACGGTCTCCATCTCTCGGGTTACAAGATCAACTCCTGTGCTTCTCTGCACCCTGTCTGCTCATTGGGACCTCATTCTGGTATCCTCTAAGACACTTGGCTTCTGTAAACCACACAGTTCTGCTCTCTGACAGCCAGGGCCAGGCCTTGGCTGTGGCCTCGGCATTCATGACTCTGATCTTGGCCCCAAATGCAAATAATCCACTGCTTCCTTGCCCAACATTACCCTGACTATGGAATCTGACTCTGTTTGAGAACCTATTTAGCTAAGGATGGGTCAGATGTCCATTCCTTCTATCAAATACAGCCTAGGTGGGGAGAGTGGTGGGTTGACATATGCATGGCCGCTTAGGTCCACCAGATACCAGGGCTCAAGAGGAGACATATACTAACAAAAGCTACGGTGCTTCTGAGGTGTGGAACGCTAATGCTCTGGAACACAACAGGGGTCATCGAAACATGTCTCTCCCTGTCCATCTACACCTTCTCCACTTCCCACCCCACCTCCCTCCCACTCCCTTAGCCCCATTACCCCACTTATTCCCCCCTACTCCACCCAGTCCCCTCCCTCACCTTTCCCCCATCCCTTTCAAAAACTGATTTCCCACTGGTATAGGTTTCTGTTCTATTTGACATTTCTGAATTTACTGAGGGCTTTGCAGCCAGATTCCCCTCCCACAGCGGAAGCAAATTTCCCTCCGTGAAAAATTCACAGCTTTACACCAAGGGCAGTCCCAATCCCCGGGTCTGCGAAGTGTGGGAGGTCTTCTGTGCTGACAGGGATCAGAGTCTCTCCTGTCTCTTTGGTGTTCTTGAGGGTCTTTTCCCCGGGACCCCACATTAGACCTTACACTAACCTCAGAGGGCCTCCAGTGGGGAGGTGTCTGAACTGGAGATCCTATGGTGAATGGTGTTGCTGGTGGGACTGGTGTGGGCGCAGGTGGGAAGGGGGAAAAGGGGCAGGCGTAGGAGTAGGTGAATGAGTCAGGGAGCTGGACAGGCAGGGGTGATGGTGTGGCTGTGGCCCTAGGCTTGATAGTCCCAGAGAAATAAAACATGGCTGTTTCCACTGACTTAAGATCTCCCTCCCTCTGCCCATGGGTGGTGTAATTTTTCCGCTCCACAGCTCCAAGCAGGTGGAGGAGGCCTCCACCTGGCTCCTTTGCAGCTTCTGCCCCTTCTGCATTCTTCTGTCCTTTTCTTCCTCTTCCTATGACGCCGGCAGAAGTAGTAGCAGCAGCTCCCGCCTCCTCTACCTCACCTGCTCCTTCTGTCCTAGTTGCCAGGCCTGGCTGTTCTGAGACCTGGACCTGCTTCTGTGGAGACTGCAGCTGTTGGAGAGAAGAGGGTAGGGTTGAGACTCATTCTGGGGGCAGTGAGGGGATGGGGAAGGGAGATAGGGCAGGGATCAATAGAAATAATCATTAAGACCTGGAGGAGCTTCCACTTCAGGAAGTCCCGTTCCCTCTGCACCTCTGCCAGGTTAGCCTGGGCCAGCCGCAGCTGGAAGGCTGCCTCTCTGCGCTCCATCTCCTGCTGCATAGTGAACTCCTTTAGGTCTGAAGCCAGGGTCTGTGCAGCGGACTTATGCAGTTTGGCGAAGTCATGCAGCCAGTGTACCCTGCGCTTGTGTAACTGGCCCTGCCTCCAGGCAAAGCGCACGCCTAGGGCCAGGCTGCTCCAGGCACAGGCCTCTTTGGCCTCACTGGACATTGTGCTGTCCTCCAGAATGGCCCTGAGTTTGTCCTCCACCTCCTCCCAGGGCAGAGATGTATTCTCGAGGTAGAACTCGGGGCCTTTCCTGTGCCTGGCCATCTTCTCATTGATGAAGGTTACCACCTCGCCATGTTGGAACCCACCACTGGGGTCATCCGGTTTCAAGGCCATGATGACTGAGTGCCTTAGGGGTTTGGCTGGCCCTGCAGAAAAGAAACCAGTTGTCCCATAACCCCCCCTCGTCCCCCTTCCCCTCCAACCTCGCCACCCCCCCGCCTCCCCTTCCCCCACCCCTTGCCCCCCCTCGCCTCCTCTGTCCCGCCACCCCTTCCTTCCCCAATACCCCCCTCCTCCCCCCATCCCACCTCCCCTGTCCTGCCCTTGTCCCAACCCCTCCCCGCCTCCTTGTCCCCGCCCC